AATGAGGCTGGCCCGAAAACACCTGCACCGTGGGATATGTCCAGGCTTAACTGTTTGCTCCTCTGTGGGTGTCCTGGGGCCTTTCATCTGTGCACATGGACCATGTCACCTATTAGCCAGAAGATTCCTGAGGCTAGGCCCTGTCATCTCCTCCCTCTCCACATCCCACTGCCTGGCACAGAGAGGATGTGAACTCAGCTTTGCTTCCGTCTTCAGGGCCGACTGGACAGGCGATGAGCCCCTGCCCTACCAACCCACATTCTCTGATGGCTGGCAACCTCCAGAGCCCTCCAGCCAAGTAAGGGGAGCTTGGCTTAGAGCCCTACCCACAGCCCTAGTCCCTGGCTAGTTTCTGCCTTCCCCATCCAAACCATGGTCACACAACTAGCGTGACCTAACACTGGCATGCCAGCAAATTCTATGGAAACCCAGAAGTCACCGCCAGACTGCAAACAGGAGACATTTGGGGGGACTCTCAGGGCTGGGACATAGGCTCAATTTCTGAGGCCCCATCTCCAAGTGGTGGGTGGGTTCATGTGGGTATCTGTATCTGTATACTGGGGGAGGCAGGAGAGGGGACGGGGGCAGCTGTGTGTGAGCTGCTAATGCCTGTGGTCAGATACCCCAGCTCCCTCCCACCATGCTGGCTGCCTCCTGCTCTTACTCACTCTCTGTTCTGTCCTTTACAGGCACTCGTAGGATACCAGGACTCTGCTTCCCTTCGGTATGCGCTGGGCTTAGTAGGGACTTCATGGTCCTGGGGAGGGACAGACAGGGCTGTTCCTTTGGATCTCTGGCTCTCTACATCTCAAGAGAGCCAAGAGGGTCTCTTTTAGCCAGACAAACATACACAAGCACATCCCTCTCCTACCTTAGGTGAAAAACAGTGTTCTACCCTCCTAGGCGCTCATCCCTTCTTCTCATGATACTACCCACACATGACTCCGATTTCCCAAACTCAAGTATAAAGTGCTTAGGGTAGAGCTCAGATGTAGAGAATTCCACTCCCAGAAATGTCTTCAGAAATCAGTAACATTTCAGAGCCCTCCTGCCTGCAAAAAGCCACACTCCAAGCCCCACCTAACACTGACCTGTCAGCAGACTCTATAGAAACCCAAGAGTTACCATCAGACTGCAGGCAGGAGATACCTGGGGGGTACCTGCTACCAGCCATCCTGACTCTGTTTCTTAGGAGGGGAAGTCATAGGTTAGGGAGCACCTCACACTTTGCTCAGGAGAAGACACACAGCCACAATCCTCAGCCTGGGGACCCCAACTCCCAGCCCACCAGCCCTACACCTGTCCAGCCAGCCCTGAAAATGCAAGTCTTGTACGAGTTTGAAGCTAGGAACCCACGGGAACTGACTGTGGTCCAGGGAGAGGAGCTGGAGGTGAGGCTTGGGCCAGAGGCTAGAAAAGGAGGTGGTGGTTGGTGGAAGCTGCAGGCAGCCGGGGGTGGGTGGTCCAGGGATGGGGCTGCCAGGGTGGGTGGCCTAGAGAGGGAGAAGGAGGGTGGGAAAGGGGCAGAAGGAAAAAGCCTTGTGTGGGGAGGGAAGGCTGGCTGGACAGAGGCTCAGGGGACTGAGGTGGTGACTCTTGGCAGGTTCTGGACCACAGCAAGCGGTGGTGGCTGGTGAAGAACAAGGCGGGACAGAGCGGCTACATTCCCAGCAACATCCTGGAGCCCCTACAGTCGGGGATCCCTGGGACCCAGGGCCAGTCATCCTCTCGGGTACTACCCAGCCTGGACTAACCAGAGCCCTAAGTCCTGCGTTGGAGATGGGAGTGGGAGGATTCAATGACAAGTAGAGGAGGTAGTCCTGGTTTGACTTAGACCATACTATTGCACTCTCAGTGTGTGCCAACTTTACCATGGGGCCAGAGCACAGAACAGGACCAGCTCCCTGCCAGAGTAAGGAAGTGATTTGATGAGAGCCTGAAGAAGGGGCCCAGATGTTAGAGCCTGTGGTTGGCTGTGAGTTGAAATGAACTCTGACGGCCAGGCGCGGTGGCTCAAGCCTGTAATCCCAGCACTTTGGGAGGCCGAGGCGGGTGGATCAGGAGGTCAAGAGATCGAGACCATCCTGGTCAACATGGTGAAACCCCGTCTCTACTAAAAATACAAAACATTAGCTGGGCATGGTGGCACGTGCCTGTAATCCCAGCTACTCGGGAGGCTGAGGCAGGAGAATTGCCTGAACCCAGGAGGCGGAGGTTGCGGTGAGCCGAGATCGCGCCATTGCGCTCCAGCCTGGGTAACAGGAGCGAGACTCCGTCTCAAAAAAAAAAAAGAAATGAACTCTGACCCCTGGTTCTCCCGATTCTAGGTTCCAATGCTTCGACTTAGCTCGAAGCCTGAAGAGGTCACAGCCTGGCTGCAGACAGAGAACTTCTCCAGTTTGTGAGTGCCTGGCCCTTCAGGATGTGGAGGGAGAAACTATGTAAAGGGCTAACCAAGGAAACCCAGAGACCTGGAACACACCCATTCCAGCACGGTCTCTGCTAAGCTAAAGAGGACAGGGCAGAGGCTTGTCCAAGCCTAGATTAGAGGTTAAGTGGTGAGTCCTGACGTGGCAAAGGCAGCAAGGATCGGGGAGTGGACTCGGGAAGAACCCTAGCTGCCAGCTCAACCGCCCTTCCCCAGCCAGGAGATTCTCTCCCAGAGCACTTCTTTCAAACCTGGAAGTTCTGAAATTGGCTGGAGCCAAATGCTAACTTTACTCCTTCACTCTCAGACATCCTACTCCATAAATTTTTCTGTAACCCCAACCTCCAAGCCCAAAGAGCCCCTTCTCTACTCAAATGCTCAGGCCTGGGGTCCTTCCAGCCCACCGCTGATGGCTTTTGCTGTTTTATTCACAGCACGGTGAAGACCCTTGGGTCCCTGACGGGGAGCCAGCTACTTCGCATGAGACCTGGGGAGCTACAGATGCTATGTCCACAGGAGACCCCAAGAATCCTGTCCCGGCTGGAGGCTGTCAGAAGGTTGCTGGGGGTGAGGACCCTGGGGTCCTGACTCCCAGTGAGAGTGTCTGGTGCACCTGGGTGAGGGAGAGTACCAGGAGGACAAGCCTGCAGGCACAGCCTGGGGGCAGAGCTGAGTGTGTCAGGTGCTGGGCACAGAATATTCGCCCAGGGGTTTAGCTTCATGCATTCAGGCTTACCTTGAGGCTCCGAGCCTACTAGTGGCACAAGCTCCACAGATCCCTCACCTGCTACCAGGCTTACCTGAATCTTTTTCTTTCCTCAGATAAGCCCTGAGTCATTAGACTGGACCCCTCCAAGAACCAGGCCCCTCTGATGCAAGATGGCAGATCTGATTCCCATTAAAGCCCCAAGAATTCCTCTTTTGGATCCCAGTTTGCGGCAAACCCCACACCCCAGCTCACACAGCAAAAACAATGGACAGGCCCAGAGGCTGAAGCAAACAGTGCCCATTCTGGCTGTGCTGGAGCCTCCCCAGTAACCACTATTTATTTCTTCTCTTTCCCAAACCTGGAACATCTATGCCTAAGCTTGTCAGGAATCTGTTCAGTCCCTCTCCTTCTCAATAAAAGCATCTTCAAGCTTGTTCTGTGCCTCCCTCGCAGCTTCTTCTGGGCCTGAGGGGGACCAAAGACAGGGAGGTAGGAAGGGCTGGGACACTGGGCATGAAACAGCAGCAAGCCTATATCCATCACTGAGCCAGATTATTTGAATGTGAGGGGACATTCACACTGCAACCTCAAGCTGGAATCAGAATTTAAGAATTATGGCCGGCCGGGCGCGGTGGCTCACACCTGTAATCCCAGCACTTTGGGAGGCCGAGGCGGGTGGATCACAAGGTCAAGAGATCGAGACCATCCTGGTCAACATGGTGAAACCCCGTCTCTACTGAAAATACAAAAAATTAGCTGGGCATGGTGGCGCGTGCCTGTAATCCCAGCTACTCAGGAGGCTGAGGCAGGAGAATTGCCTGAACCCAGGAGGCGGAGGTTGCAGTGAGCTGAGATCGCGCCATTGCACTCCAGCCTGGGTAACAAGAGCAAAACTCCGTCTCAAAAAAAAAAAAAAGAATTATGGCCCGAGCTCTCCTGACTCTTTCTAAACAAACTCCAAAATAAGGCTATGCTCACCATGTTTTTCATGCATACATGTCTCCCAGTATATTCCAAGGCACCCAGCACAGCTGCAGGCACACCACTTCACAGTAGCAAAGAGTCCCAGGACTGACAGCTGCAGGCTTTGATCAGTTTCACCAGCTGGCTAGGTGAGCTCTAGCAAGTCATTTCACTCTTTGGGTCCCTGTTTTCTCAAAGGTTAAGCAAAGAGTCTGGACTGTCCATAGCTTCTTATATTTTTTAGTAAAAGTGGCTTTCTTTAATCTCAGTGGAGTCCCCTCTCCACATACCAGTAGCTATTCTTTTATTGATTTAGTCAACAGATAAGGCCCAATGTATTTATGGATTTGAGGGTTCTTAAGATGGTCCCTTAAATCTCTCTTAGCTGAATTTGTCCATGACCCTAACATTGTCTGGGCACCAAACTGCCCTATTTTTAGACTGCCTATGTCATCCCCTCAAGTTCCTGGCCTCAGAAAATCATCTCTCATAGCTGTTAACAGAATAGGAAAGCAACAATTTTCCCTCACAAAAGAGAGAAAAGGTGAGACCGTTTGGCTGTCAAGGGCAATAGTTACCCAGTAAAGTTAATTTCTTGGTATAGGGGAGAGATATTAACCCATCGCCCTCTGTGGCCTCCCCGAGCTAAAGGAGCCCTAGAAGCAGGGAAACCCTCCAGGACCAGAAAAAAGTGTTTTCACCTGGTGTTTCCCAGACTTCCCAAGAAGACTACCATGTGGCGAAGAGCTGTCCAGATGGCCAAGTGCAGGGAAACTAGCCCCAACGGTGTTATTAGACAGATCTAGGTTTGAATCCCAGGCTATCTCTGGGACCTTAAGAGCACCTCCCCTAACAGCTCCAGGCCGGTTTCTTCTTCTAGAAAATGGGCATAACACCTGCCTGCTAAAGTTGTTGTGAAGCTTAAATTGGAATGAATTAGTTACCGTATGTAAACACCTAGATCTTCCCTGGCATATGACAGGTATTCAATAAATGCTCATCTTATACCTCAGGTGAACTTGTGACTGGCCTTTTGCTTTCTTGGGAAGACAGACACAGTGTTATAAATTTCACCTGTCCCTGTGGTTTGTACTCTTTTCCTTTCTTCTGTTTAGCAAAATGCCCTTCTTAAAAGTCCCAGCCTTGCTTCAGCTGAGCTGATGGGCAAATGTGATTTCCCACACCAAGGACAAGGGATCTAGGAGCTCAGACTGCCCTGAGGGCTCTGCTGCGGAGGCCTGGTCACTCCTCCATAGTCAACTAGAATCCTGTCTCTCCCGTGCTGACACTGTTGCAAATCTATGCTCCTTTTTCATTTTCATGGGCCCTGCTGAAATTCAGAAGCTTAGTTCTTCCCATGGCTATAGGGGCCTCCTGCAGATCTCTTGCTCTGTCAAGGTCAAAACCTCTACTTTCCTAAATTCAACCATTGATTCTCCATCTCCATCTTACTTGATCAGCCACATTTGACATAGTTGACCACTTCTCCCTTTAAACATCTATCTTCACTTGGTTTCTAGGACCCTTTGTTTTCCTCCTACCTCCCTGCCCACTTCTTTTCAGACTACTTTGCTGGTTCACTCTCATTTTTCCCTAACCTTTATATATTGATGTGCCAGAGAACCCCAAACCCTTAGACCTCACCTCTGCTACTCTCGCTCCCATAGCGATCTCATCTGGTCTCCTGTTTTTAATGCAACCTACAGTGATCATTCCCTGTACTTGCCTTTCCCTTTTCATGGAGTTCTCCCTGCCTCTTGCAGACAGGAAGTGATTCAAGATAAGAGAGGGAGAGATGTCTTCTGGCCAGGATAGAGGGTGATTCTGAGAAGGCTTCAAGAAAGGGGTGAGCATCTGAGCAAGGCTACTTGAGGAAGGATGGGCCATGAATGTTAGGGTGTAGGCAGGAGCAGAGCAAACACGTTTCTAAAAGGAACGGCAATTATTCCGTTTTATATCAGCCCGTGGTGGCCCCCACAGCAAAGTGGCTAGATCTCTCACCTCCTTCAGGTCTTTGTTTAAAGATTAACTTCTCCATGAGGTCTTCTATGAACACATCCTTTAAAAACACAAAACTCCTTCCTACTGGGATACCACCAATTCCCACCCTGAGACCCCTATCTCTCTTCTTGGTTTTCTCTCCATAGGATGTGTATCACCATCTGACTTATTAGATGTTTACTATATATTTATGTCTGCCCCTTAGAATGTAAACTTCCTGAGGGCAGGGATTTTGTCTGTTGAGTTCAATTCTGTATCCCCAGCACCTAAAACAGTGCCTGCCCATAATAGGCTTGTTAAATAAACATTGTTGGACAGATGAGTGAATGAATGAAAAATAGTGGTACCTTTCCTCCTCCAGTCCATCCTACACAAAGAGGCAAGATTAGTTTCCCTGGATGCCTGAGCATTAGGAAGTGGGAGGGGTTGGAGAAGGAGGAAATGATAACAGGGAACCCAAAAATTACTTAAACCCATAAAACAAATGTAGGAAGCATCCAAGATAAGGGACCTGTACTGGCCAGGATAGAGGTTGGTTCTGAGAAGGCTTCCAGAAGGCAGACACGAGCAAGGTTGCTGAGGAAGGGTAGGCCTCAGATGTTAGGGTGCAGGCAGGAGGATCACAGAGCAAACACTGCGAGGCGGGAAATGCGAGTGTGTGTAGAAGGAACAGCAAGCATTGTTGGGTTGGGCTAGTTTGTGAGGTTGTGACAGGCTGAGGGAGAGAGAGGGCTGGAAAAGCATGCTGGGGTCAGGTTGCAGAGGTTCTTGACTGACAGAAAGGGGAGCTTGGTCTGTCGGGAATCCTCTACTCTGTGTGGTCAGAGGTTGGTCCGACTCTCCGGCCTTGCCCCAGTCTCCCTATCCCTCATTCCAGCCCTAGCTGACTCGGTAAACACTGCACGAATCTAGCTCTTCCCGGGTAACTAGTGTCCCCACTGCCTGGCTAGTGGCGATTTCCGCTCCTTCACTGGCACTATTAATGAATAAAGTGCGGCTCCCACCCGTGGGGAAGGGAGGAGTCTCAACCTCGGGTCCTCTTGCTCGTCTGCAGCGCTCGCGCCCGGAGAACCTCTACTGCAGCAGAAGTCGCGCCAGCGCAGGTCCCTGTGGAGCCGCGGAGGGAGGGGTCGGAGAACGGGGCGGGGGCGGAGTCAGAACGCCCGCGTGGGCCCCGCCCCCTCACGTTGGGTATAAAGCCCCTCCCGCTCACGGTTTCTCCGCTCCTCGAAGGCTAGCAAGCTAGCGTCATGTCGTGCGAATCGTCTATGGTTCTGGGTTATTGGGATATTCGCGGGGTGAGTGCCGTCTCAGCGGTAGAGCCGCTCGGTCAGAGACACGGACGCGGAGACGGCGGGGCTCTGGGTCCGCCATCTCCAGAAGGAGCAGCTCTACGCTGGAGGCTTTCGAGCTGCCGAGCCACGGACGTCGACCCCTGCCCAGCCTCTGGGATCGCGGGCCCTGTGGGGATGGGCGGAGGAACCGCTCGCCGGGGCCGGTCTTAGGGGCCGCTTAACGATCTTCCCGGCAAGATGCTGGGCCTCGGCAGCCCCGGGCCGGGGGACGTTAGAGGGCGGGGGTTGGGGGCGGGTGGGAGCTGCGCAGGCGCTGACCTGCTGTTTTCCCCAGCTGGCGCACGCCATCCGCCTGCTCCTGGAGTTCACGGATACCTCCTACGAGGAAAAACGTTACACGTGCGGGGAAGGTAATGCCGCTCTGCGTGCCAGTGCAGCCAAGCTGGCCCTCCACCTGCCCAGGTCTTCTTAAACCCCGAGGGTGGTGGCATCCTGCCAAGGCCGGGTGGGACATCTGCCCCAATCTGGGTGGGTAGAGACGCATCCTTTACCTGGAACTGGGGATTCTGCCTTTACCATAGCCCAGCCCCGTCTTAATGCTTAACCAAATAGGGCTCAGAATCTCAGTAGTTAGACGCTTTTGGGGCCTGGGAATTTGAGGTATCGGGACCAAGTTATTTCTTTAGATCTTTCATTCTTGTCAGGTGGGATATTAAGGAGGTTGGGTCCCACTTAATTCTGTCTCTTACAGCTCCTGACTATGATCGAAGCCAATGGCTGGATGTGAAATTCAAGCTAGACTTGGACTTTCCTAATGTAAGTGGCTTTAGGAGAGGGGGGCAGGCAGAAGGGAAAGCCTTCAAGTATATCCATCCTTGCCTGGGACTACAGGCACACGCCACCACGCCAAGCTAATTTTTGTATTTTTGGTAGAGACAGGGTTTTGCCATGTTACCCAGGCTGATCCTGAACTCCTGGGCTCAAACAATCCTCCCACCGCCGCCTTCCAAACTGTTGGGATTACAGGCGTGAGCCACTGTGCCCAGCCTGAAATCAAGTAGTTTCATATTCCATTAAATGCATTGCAGATATTTTGTGATATTTATATACATATAAAGAAATATAGATATATCATGTTATTTGAGATGTTAGTCATTACATCTGCTTGCTATTTAATGCATTAATAGGCACATGTTACCCTATTTGAATTTTTAAAATATTTTTTGATTGTATAAATTCTCTATTTTGCTTCATGCACTTAACAACTTTATTCTGAGAAAAGGTCTATGGCCTGCACATACACCCACACATACACACACTGATTTAAGAAACCCTGTCTAGAATCTTGTGAACCCAGTTGCTACCTTCTATTTATTTTCTTTTTTGTCACACAGCATCTTTTCTCTCCTGTTCACTGCTCTGCAGGTGTTCTTTTCCCTGGCAGAAAGGTAGGTTGTTCATTTGGCCTGTCCTTTTCCTTCAGCTGCCCTACCTCCTGGATGGGAAGAACAAGATCACCCAGAGCAATGCCATCTTGCGCTACATCGCTCGCAAGCACAACATGTGTGAGTGGGGTAGGGCTGGTGAGGCAGCCCAGGCTGGTGGTTTGCCTGGGAGTGGGTGATGCCAAGGGTGATGTGTTGTCCATTGGCCTACAGGTGGTGAGACTGAAGAAGAAAAGATTCGAGTGGACATTGTAGAGAACCAAGTAATGGATTTCCGCGTAAAACTGATAAAGCTTTGTTACAGCTCTGACCACGTGAGATTCCTTAGCACACATCTGCTGAATGGAGTATCAGAAAAGGGGCATTTAGGAACCCAAGGGTTATCTCTGTTCCATTCTGCTGCTGCACCAACCCAGATTGTTAGAATAAGAAACAGAATGTCCATTTTTTGGTTTGGTTTGCTCTGTAATTCTGGTGCGGGTGCCTCTTCTTTCCAAACTCCTCCTCCCACCCGGCTGTCCTCAAGTGAAGGCAATGAGAAGGCACCTAGAGAAGGGGCTACGAAATGTCCATCACTGGCCTGTGCCCTGATTAACTGTGAAGATGATCACCACTATTCTTTTTTCCTCTCTCAGGAAAAACTGAAGCCTCAGTACTTGGAACAGCTACCTGGACAACTGAAACAATTCTCCATGTTTTTGGGGAAATTCTCATGGTTTGCAGGGGAAAAGGTAGGATAGAAGGGAAAAGAGGATACCTCTCTGTCTCTGCAGACTACTGCTCCTCAGACCTAAGTATCTTACTGTCTTTGTTCTAGCTCACCTATGTGGACTTTCTCACCTATGATATCTTGGATCAGAACCGTATATTTGAGCCCAAATGCCTGGATGAGTTCCCAAACCTGAAGGCTTTCATGTGCCGTTTTGAGGTGATGTTTCCTGCACCTTTCTCTTATAAAAAACACAGGCTCCCCAGGACCCCGTAGGATCTCGTTGTGGTGGATTCTTGCCCAGCTTTTGCCTAAAGGGATCAGTGATTGGACACCTCTAGACCCTTAAGTCTTGGGAAGAGCCTGGCTTCTACACCCTGGAGGTACCGTCTACAAAAAAAAATGGAGGAAGTAGACACAGGCAACAGTTGTAACAGAATTAGAATAGTGGTGATCATCTTCCTCCATATTTTAGTAGACAGTGCCTTCAGGGTGAATGCCTCTGTTGGACTGGGTTAGGGTCTTTATAAGATTTGGTGTATTTTCCCTTCAGGCTTTGGAGAAAATCGCTGCCTACATACAATCTGATAACTTCTTCAAGATGCCCATCAACAACAAGATGGCCCAATGGGGCAACAAGGCTATATGCTGAGCAGGAGGCAGACCTGCAGAGCTGCTTTTGTTTCATCCTGTCCCTAAAGGGTCAGCACTTTTTCTTTGCTCTTTTCAATAAATAGCATTTAGGTTACTCGTGTCTAGCTGAATTTCTCTTGGGTGTAAAGGCTAAAAGAAAGAATATGTGGAGAACCATCAAGATATGAATTGAATCACTGCAACACTGGCAACCCCCTACTCCACAACTGAGTTCAAGGGCTGTAGGTTCATGCCCAAGCCTTGAGAGTGGGTACTAGAAAAAAACGCCATGTTTTGCCTCCTGCTGTGAGCAGAGATTAGGTGTTCAGGCCACTATCTTGGGTATGGGGAGCCTTTGGCCAGAAGAGGTATGAAACTGAGAAGTTTATCTTCAGTCTGATAACTATTGACATGGATTTCCATAGTGTGAGGAAGGTGGCATGCTCTGAGGAAAGGCCTTGCAGATTTAAGGGAGGCCAGAGAAATTGAGGGTGCCTCTCGGGCTAGATTGATGATATGACCAGAAATCAAAAAGGGAATGCAATATTTATTGCTGTGTAACACTGTTGAGAGAGGAGGTAGTTAGGGGCTGGATAGGTACATAGGGAGGGTCTTGAGAGAAAAGATAGAAAGGAATGATGCTTACAGGAACAACCACGGGACAGCACTGATACTGCTCTGCAGTTAACAGGAAAAATGTGGTTAAGAACTTACCCGGCTGGGCACGGTGGCTCAAGCCTGTAATCCCAGCACTTTGGGAGGCCGAGGCGGGTGGATCATGAGGTCAAGAGATCGAGACCATCCTGGTCAACATGGTGAAACCCCGTCTCTACTAAAAATACAAAACATTAGCTGGGCATGGTGGCGCATGCCTGTAGTCTCAGCTACTCAGGAGGTTGAGGCAGGAGAATTGCCTGAAGCCAGGAGGCGGAGGTTGCGGTGAGCCAAGATTGTGCCATTGCACTCCAGCCTGGGTAACAAGAGTGAAACTCCGTCTCAAAAAAAAAAAAAAAAACTTACCCGTAAGCTAGAATGTTGCTCAGAATGGACTGTCCCAACTTTGGTGCAGGCACAATAAATCAACCTACATGTCCCTAACTTAACCCAGTTCATTATAATGTCATTATCATGACATTAGCATTGTGGTTTTAGCACCCCCATGGGTTTTGCTTAGGCGATCATGGGTAGTAACCAAGATGGAGTCACTTTGGCAAACCTTAGGCATGCACAGATGTAGTACCCCAAAGAGAAAATTTTACCTCTCCCATCTGGGCAAAACCCACAGAAGACCTCCTGGCTTCTGCGACATAAAAGACACAGAACACAGATGCCTTACTGGCAACCTGCTTTGAAGACCCCTGTCTTTGCTGACAGCTTTCCTTTTCCTCAATAAATTCTACTCTGCCCTACTCACTTTCCATGTCCACGTGTCTAAGTTTTCTTGGTCATGGGACAAGAGCCCAAGCCTCGCCATACTGCAGGGACAAAGGAAGACTACTACACTATTCCCACAAATTTTAGCAGCCTAAAACAATGCATGTTTATGACCTCAAAGTTTTGTGGATTTTGTGAGCCACCATGCCCTGCCTCAAATTTTTCTTTTAAGCCTGGGCGACAGAACAAGACTACATCTCAAAAAAAGAAAAAAAGAAAACTTGAAACAGGTGCATTAGATTTGGTGGAGTAGTTCCCCAAAAGTGTTAGGGAAACTCATTTGTATTCATTGTTGAAGGCTGAGCAACCGTGCATTTCTAGTTCAGAAAGAGTTTATGTAATTAAAGGAAAGTTTGTTATAGAGTTGTTTCACTGTTACTAGGGAAAGGAGAGAGGGACAGGGCTAGGCATGGACACAGATCTGCCTTTAAAGCCAGTTTAAGAAGTGCTTATGAAAACACCTGGACTGTGTATAGAAGCTGCACATTCCTTATCCTTCAGCTGCAGGACAGGTGGAGCAAATGAGCCGCACAGAAAAAGAGGACTTAGGGAGTTCAGATGGATAGTGGGAGAAGGGAAGGTAATGAAATTCAGTGGGTGATTTTTCTAATGTGTAAATGTGTTAGTGTCACTCCCCCGCTTAAAGACGTTTAGTGGCTTCTAAGACCTCAGGAAAAAAAAACTGTATTCTCATGAAGTAGGAAAGGCGGCAAACAAACCTAGTGAACACAGAACTGGGAAGGAAGTGATTTATTCGGCCGGGAGCAGTAACAGGTGAAAATACCTTAACAAAGAAAATCCTTACCCTTTTAAAGGCTTACAATCTTAGAAATTACATGTGAAAAGGTCTTGATTCATGAAGTAGGTGTTGGGTACGGGACTTAGGTGGGGGTCTGATCGTGTTTAAGCAAAAACATATGCCTTCTGGAAAGATTCCTCCATACCAGGCCTGCTATCTATAGGGGTGTGATTAAGGGTGGCGCCCAGTCTGCTAGGTTTTACCTCTCCTATTGAAATGCAATGCAGAAGGCTAGGGGGAAGTGGTCTTAGATGCTTAAGAGGATTAAGGGTGATTAAGAATCTCCTTCCTCACTCAGACTTATTTCACAACCTGACCTCTGCTCCCTTTCCAGCTACATCTTTGGCATGTGCCCTCCCCAACCCCTGCTGCCCTGGAGCACTGGGTCCAGCCTTTGTGAATTTCCAAGAGAGCAGCACTGTGTGGCCTCAGGAGCATAGACTCCTGAGCCCGGCCATCTGGGTTCAGATCCTGGTTTTGCCCCTGGTAAATGGTGGCCTCCTGTGCTCAGTGTCTTCTTTGACAAATGAATCCTCCCTCACAAGCTTGTTATGAGAATTAAGTCAATATTTCTAGAGCACTTGGGCTAGGCGCGGTGGCTCACATCTATAATCCCAGCACTTTGGGAGGCTGAGGTGAGCAGATCACTTTAGGTCAAGGGTTCAAGACCAGCCTGGTCAACATGACAAAACCCCACCTCTACTAAAAATACAAAAATTAGCCAGGTGTGGTGATGCACGCCTGTAATCCCAGCTACTCGGGAGGCTGAGGCATGATAATCGCTTGAATCTGGGAGACGGAGATGGCTGTGAACCGAGATCATGCCACTGCACTCTACCCTGGGCAACACTAGATTCTGTCTCAAAAAGGCTAGATTCTGTCTCAAAAAAAAATTATAGAGCACTTGGAATGGATCAATGTTACATAAATTTATAAATATAAATTGCCAAAAAGGTCCACATTCTCTTTTATATTTTCACACTTTAATACATGCTGTCCCCTCTGCCTGTTGCTTTTCCTGAAGCCCCCTTAGCCTTCAAATCTGATTTAAAGTCACATCTGATAAGCCCTGGTTATCAGATGTGATTTTGGTGATGATCACCAAAGATTTCTGACTATTCTCCCACTGGAAAAGCTTCATGATATTCTTTAACTTAAATGCGGTCTCCTGATTTGCTTTGGCCAATTAAATGCATGTAGAAATTACACACATTTTCCAGGCAGAAGTTTTAAGACCTAGTGAGTAAGTCGCTGTATCTGACTACCACAGCTGTGTAGACTCAGAGCAGGCGCCAAGTTAAAGCCTCCATCAGCCTAGGCCTCTGACAGACTACGAAGGACAGGGCTCCTGTTGATCACATCGGACACGAAGGGTAAGTAAGAAATAAGCGTGTTTTAAGCCACAGAGATTTGGTTTATCCTGACACATTTCTCTGCCTCCCACAGACTAATTTAAATGCAGTTATTTAGGCCAGGGGTGGTGGCAGACGCCTGTAATCCCAGCACTTTGAGAGGCAGAGGGGGTGGATCATTTGAGGTCAGGAGTTTAGACCAGCTTGGCCAACATGGTGAGACCCCGTCTCTGCTAAAAATACAAAAATTGGCTGGGCATAGTGACAGGTACCTGTGATCCCGGCTACTCGTGAGACTGAGGTAGGAGAATCGCTTGAACCAGGGAGGCAGAGTTTGCACTGAGCCAAGATCGAGCCACTGCACTCCAGCCTGGCTGACAGAGTGAGACTCTGTCTCAAAAAAATACAAATACAAATAAATAAATAAATAAATAAATGCACTTATTTTAAATTTTTGTTCCCACGGGATACAATGCTTTCCATGACCAGGACTTAAAACACTGAACTCCAGTTGCTCATTTAGATGTTAGTCTCTGCTGCTAAACTGTAAGTTGCCTGACAGCAGAAACTATGTCTTACGCAAAAGTTTATATTTAATGCTTGCACAGAGCCTGACACAAAGTAGGCACTCACAACTATGCACTGATTCCCATCATTTACTGAGAATTGGAAGAAAAAAGAGGCCGGGCGCAGTGGCTCAAGCCTGTAATCCCAGCACTTTGGGAGGCCGAGGCGGGTGGATCACAAGGTCAAGAGATCGAGACCATCCTGGTCAACATGGTGAAACCCC